GCAGGAAACATAAACCAAAACTATGTTAGAAGAACTAAATCCACACTTCCTACTGATACTTGGCAGCAACTGAAAGAAGATGCCTGAGGATCACTGGAAAATCAGTTCTCTGTTGCTGGCTTCCTGCTAATTTCCTAAGGACGACATGATTATCTTTAAAATGAGAAACCAGAAGAGCAGAATGTGCATCCTTTCACATATGTAAACGTCATTCTGTTGATCTAGCTGAAGAAGGGATTTTATTGATGTGCCTGTTTAGGTGTGGGTTTGCCATCTCTCCTTCCCAGCGTTATGTCTAAGTCCTGCCTAAAGTATTGGCAGCCACCACACTACAGAGATACTTTCCTACCCTCAACCCAACTGCAATCTCAAGCTACTATTTCACCATATCTCACACTCTCCTAATAGGATTACAGCTACAGTAGGAAAACACAGTCCTGTCTCTGAAAAAACAGCAGGCTTTTTGTGTCCTCAGAGCTGAGAGCACTTCACTGGTAACATCTGCCATGTGGGACACTCACACTCACACGACTGTACCTCAGCTCAACGAGCAGGCCATCAAAGTGGGAAACTATGTACCTTGTGGTCAGTAACATATCACCCATGGCTTTTCAACTGTGTTAATTAGGCTGGACAGGCAATGCCAGAAAATCAGTCATGCACATAACAAGCCTCTCAAGTAATTTTGATGGCCTCAAGCCACAGTGTGCTATTAGCCCTTTTGTGTTGCACAAGTAATTTCCATCTTGTGGTGTCCTCTTGGTGTTGCAAAGTAAAAGTAAAAATATTGTAAATTGAGCTATTTGCTAAATACTTCCCGGGAAGAATAAAACAAAAAAATACAAATCTGTACAATTTATCAGACCTGAAAATTTGGTAGTTGACAGGTGTGATAAAACTACATTAAGAAAATATCATCTTGTTGGTTATCGCTGCAACAGCTGAAGGGTGTAGGAACTCCTGCTAAGGTATGTATCAGCATGCAGAACTCAATTATCCCTTTAGACTCCCATTGGCTTCCTCTCCATAGCAGAAATAGAGTAACAACCCATTTCTACTTGGTGATATTTCAGAACATTTTGTCACACTATTTCTCTCTGTGGTAATCAACCAATAATATTAAAGAATTGTAGACACTGCCTTTCGTTGATTTTGCTGGTTCAATCCATCTACATCTAGGGATCCCATCCTCTTGACTGAGACTGTACTGTCTCTGACTGCTGAATATGCCCTCAAGGTTCTATCTCAACTTCTGAGAAATTTGTTTCCACTGGTAAATGAAGCAGGATAGCTGAACTGCATCCTTCCTGAAACCATCCTTCTCTTTTATTCAGATTACAGTTAGATCTAAATACATGCTCTATTTTCCCACAACAGTTTTGCTCCTCAAGAATTTTCTTCCACTAACAAAAGTGAGAAATATTAACCAGTAGTTCTGAGTAGTTTCTCAGTAGTTTCTGCGTACAGAAAACAGCTTGGCTGGGAGAGATGACAATAAACAAATGAGGGCATGTCTTCTTGCCTGTGCCATCCAAGGCCACTTCCATTCTAGCCCATATAACTCATTGCTAACACTTCACCGCACTTGTGTCTGAGGTCCTGCACCAGGGCACACCTCTGGAACGTATGAAATAACGAACCAATATCCTTTATCAAGATTTAAAAACAGACTAGAAAGCTGAGTTGAATTATTTGTGCATATACACATATACACGTCTATATAGATACAGACATATATATACACGCATTTATATGTCTTATACGCTTTTCATTAAAAAATCTCAAGACTTTGGCCCCCTTTGAAGAAGTTATGACCTGCTACTGCTTAATTTCTGGGTTGTTGCATAAACAAGGAAAAAAGTTGATTAGAGTCTGCTTAGTTGATTTGCTCTGTGTCTTATGTTTTAGCAAAGTGACAGCAATAATGATATTTCAGACGGCAGGAGTTTCAAATAAAACCCTGAAGTCCTGACCGCCTTGTGCACCCACCACATTCCTCTGATGGACTCAGTTGTCTCTGATTCTTGACTGAGCTCTTGCCAGTTACAAACATTGGAAAGCAAAATAGCCAGCACCTCCCGTGAGCTCGAGTACAAAACCTCAGTGCATACTTGACAAATTTTCATAATTCTTTCATGATGAATCCCATATATTCCCACACACAGAGTGCTCCCCTCCTGGTGAGGCCAGCATGAACTGGACTAACAAGAACACGTGTCAGCCTGTCACATACGTGTCTTCCATAGCTCTTAGGGTTTTTTCTTATTTTCTTTAGCTTGTAGTGATTAACAATGCTATGGGATTCAAACCCAAAACCTCTTTCAGTCAACAAACTTATTGCTGAGGAATTCAGTGTCTTTAAGACTTGCAGACTTGTCCATGGGCCCATGGAGAATAAGGAGCAGAATGCAGAAGCAACATTACCAGTCTTGTGCTCAAAGAATCACAGACATCTCATGGAATAATGCAGATATTTTCATACATATGCATTTTTCCTTCTATTTCTATTAATTTCTGCTTGACAGATTTTCTCCCAACTTAAACACAGAGGTTTAGAGTTATAAGCCTAAGCAATAAGAACTAAAATAGTAGGCTAGAGAGTAGAAATGGTATCTCGAGATAGCTAAAAAATACGTTCCTATTACCACCAAAAAGTAACCCATTTTCTTTTTCATTTCAAAGGGATCTGTTGCATGGTTTTAGGATAATATGTCACCATTGATATTTTTCATTTTCAGAGTCAACTGAATGGTATTAATGAGGTAAAAAAGCCTTACTTGACTGGCTTCTCTGGCATCCTTTTTTACGCAGAACATCCTCTATTGAAGTATCAAAGATTAAATGAATATTTTGCAAAAGACCCTGTAATAATAATCAAAAACATTAAAAAACAGTTAGATTAATTTGGGAGTAACTAATAACTGATCTTTCTCAAACCCATGCTACTGACTGGATTCAGCCATAAGTAAATACATAAAAAACAATCTACAAAGCATTAAAGTGACAAACACTGAAAAAATGTTTATAGTTTTGTTACGTACAATTTTAATACTATAAGCAACAAAATTAGGTATGTTCTGAAATAAGTCATAATAAAAGTTATTAATCAGCTATGAACTCAAATCTTCATCGTCATAGCACGCATTTTATATTGTAGTTCTACAGGAAAATTGTTGTGAGGTCAAAGCCAACTTTTGAAGTTCCTGTCTCATTGCACTTCCATCCTTAGCCAGCCATTCCTATGCACCATACTTTGGTGCCTCCTCAATTGTGCTGACACTACCCTGAGACAACACTATATAACCTGTTATATAGTATCTGTTTCACTTTAAAAAAGTTCAAGGAAGAAAAAAATTACTTTAAAACCAGATTATTTCAGTGATCCACTTAACAGTACAGCTCCAGAACCAGTTCTATGAGCACAAC